CACCCCAAAACCCCAAAACCCCAAAACCCCTAACAAGAGCTTAGATATTGAAAACAAAACATTGGTGTGTCGTTACATATCAAAATTATTTACAAATATTCGCTGAAGAATGGATGACGAATTCAATCTTCAACGCTGATCCTTTGCTTTGGATCTTTGTCTAACATTGATTGGAGTAAGTCTGGGAGATCTTTATGGAGCTTATCAAAAATAGATGATCTCCTTGGCATCGCATTATTCATGGTAATATCAATGGTAATTTCATCAGAAGGACCATCAAAAGGAAGTTCTCCGGTTGCTATAAAAAATAACATTGCTCCAAGACTAAACATATCAACTTCCGCATTGTATCCTTCTTCATATAAAACTTCGGGGGCGACATATCCTAAAGTTCCACACATTTGTAGCTCAGGATCATTCAACTTGTAATCTCAGAATGTTGAAAGGCCAAAATCAATGAGGAAGGACTTTTTAATATTGCCTTCCTTGTCTGCATTTATCAGGATATTTTCAGGTTTGATGTCACGATGCATTATTTTCAACTCATTTAGATATTTCAATGTTTTCAGAATGTCATAAGTTATCCGAAATCATTCCTCTTGGTCAAGGAAAAACTTCTTCTTGAGCTTATCAAACAGCGAACCTGTTTCGATATTTTCCATGAAAATATACATCCGATCAATATCTTCATAAACGCCATAAATTTTAGGAATATTAGGGTGGTTGATAACTTCTAGAATTCTAAGTTCTTTCAACATGCTATCTCTGTCGTAATTCTCAGGATCAGCCTTAGAGATAATTTTAACAGCATACTCGTATTGACCATTCTTCGAGGTCGCTTTCCTGACCGAAGCAAATTGGCCAGTTCCAATAACTCCTTGGAAATCAACTCATTTCTCAATATTTCAGCAGGCTAATGAGAGAACGCTGTACCACTTATCTCTGTCTTCCTCAGTTTCTACTGCAAATTCTGCTCTGAGCTGTCCATTTGATGCACTAGTCAGTGAGATGAAGTGCATTCTATCTCTTTCAAACTTTTGTACTATTTTATCTTTTACATAGATCAATCCTAAATCATGAACCAATTTTCGTACCTAATGGAATTTTCTTAACAAGAGAACTTTGTTTAGATCTTCTACACAATTTAGAAATATGGTACTTACCCATAATAGTAAAGAATGTTGTTTTTGAGGAAATAGAAGCGTTTTATTAAGTCTCCACAACCTCCACGGACCTTCATCAGAAATCCTTTCTTAACCTCAGAGATAGCGGAAGTATAGAGCTCGATAGGTCCTGACTCAGACTCTTCAGTAATATATACACTTTTATTTGTATTAAAGACATTGGAATTAATGATTTTGTTACTGCTTCCAGATTTGGCAGCAAACACTGCTTGAGTCATGTTCAGAACAGAAGCTTTAGAGTAATATGTATCCGGAGAAGTTTTTCGATCAGAGATATCACTCTCTTCAGAAGAACTCTCCTTTGTGATAACATATCTTTCACTCCAGAGCTCATATCGCAAAGCCCCTTTAATAGGATCTACTATTTCTGGGTTGAATTTTCAAAAAGCTGTAAAGCCCTCGAAATCAAGTCCTTTGTCTGCATCAAAGCCTGAGTTTGTGAATAAATGCTTTGCTATTTCTAAAACTTCTTCACTTTCAAAGTATGGTCTGTCGTAGTAATATCATGCTGTGAAGTGACATTTACTCTTCTGGGCATAGTTGATTTGTCTCTGACAACAAATTTCACCCGAATTTGATCTTGTCAATTTTGGCTTATGATTCAGACTCGCATCTAATTTCTTTGTATATTTCAGTCTATATGAGATTAGCAAAGTAAAGAGATGGCCTACAATAAACACGATTTTGAACAACTATTGAAGGACTTTGCCTCTTTTATTTTCTTCTTAAGTTTCTCAATCATTCCATATTTTTCATAAGTCCTTATCTAGAAAATTTTAGGAATACTATTCGAAATCCCCAAAACTTACAAACGTGACAAGCTCTGATACTCCAAATGAGCTTTTATTGTTGAAATCATAAATTTGGAACAAGGCTTCATAAAATTCGTTGTCTTCAGGTCTGGCTAGTTTGCTCATTCCATAGAGGAAATCTCCTCTTCCCGAGCTAGCAAAGAATTGGTAAAGTCTCATGCCAATAACTCCCTATAACGTGTTTAGCTTTATTAAAAGTGATTTAAAATTAGCATAATTAGGTGAGAAACTTACTGGAATATCGAAGAGTTTAAAGAAGCTCGTTCTAGAAATGAATTGATCCTCTGGAGATCCAGATGCCATATCATGATACAATAACTTCAAAATTCTTCTCTCATTATTTGTGACTATACAGAATTTTAGAACGTAACACAGACGCTGCCTCATGAGTCGACCAATGAGTCCAATTTTGTAAGAAAAAGTATAAAAGAAGTATCTGAAGTTAGGAAGACTTACACTTATGGAATCCAATTAGTCTCAGCTCTTCAAGTTTGGCTTCCTCAATATGTTCTTTTGAAGGACCACAATTACCCATTTTAGTTTAAATATATCTCCAATTTCTACATGTAATTTGGGGTTTTGGGGTTTTGGGGTTTTGGGGG